TTTTTTTTTTTTTTTTTTCGGTTTTGGCTAGCAGATAATTTGCAAAAAAAAAAAAAACAATACAAAAGACGACTTTTATAGCCGTATATTTTTAGCTGAACACATAATCAGTATTAATTTTCAATGCTGTTTTAGACAATTGGAAAGCGTCTGTTTACGGCTGAAAGTAGACTAATGGTTTATATCCGACAAGAGGATTATAACAGCTGATGTTGATTCAAAAGAAGGAAAAATCCTAAGTGGACGACTATCATATCAGACAAAGAAGTGGTATATATAAAACAAAGCTTTATCATCGAATTTTAAAAAATGCGTTCACTTAATATGTTTGCTGTAAAATATAGATGTATTATTTCCTTGTTTTTTTAGTTCTTTCTCATTTCTTTCAATTTTTTTAAAGATTAACCGCAAAGAAGAAACCATCTAATTAAGCTTTATTTATGAATTAAAAAAGATAAAAGAAATTGTAATTGTTACGGACTAGTAATATGCCAATTTCGTTGCCTTACTTCACTTTGCAACAACGAATATTCCAGTACACCAATTTGTACGTTAAATATCCTGATGTCATTTTCCAGTTTAACAATCGCTTGTTTTATACGAACAATAGGAGCTGCAATAAAAAAAAATTATGAAAAATTTGATGTATACTTTTCCTTTGCTCTAATGAGAATTTTTCGATTTTTAGAGCACAACACTTTATTTAGAGTACCTTGAGCCATTGATACTGTAAATAAAAAGTTAACAACTATGAACAAACCTGCATCACTATTTTTTTGGCTTTGCTCTTCAATATCTGTTTTCATCTGATTTAACTCTTCCGTAATCTGCTGAAGGGTTGCAGTACGTTCTCTTAATCCTCCACTAGCTTCTCTGAAATCATATCTTTTCCATTTTTTTCAATCACACGGGGATTTATTAAATTTATAAGAATTCAGACAAACAGTTTTGAAGTTTATTTGATGTATTGTCCAAAAAAGTTACTTTGTACAAAAGTCGTGATATCTAATAATGCCACAATTGTAACATCAAGTAATTTTTGAAATGCTTCAGAAGACTCCAAAAGCAATTAGCATCTTTCAAATGATTAGCACCTATGAAACTTTCTGGTTGCAGAGTAACAAAAAGTAATATTGTCTTTGCTAGCAGCGAAAAAATTGTAGCGGTTTAGTCGCTGATTTAGGCGTCGAATTGTAAAAGTGATTTCAGGTTTCAAATTAATCCACAATAGACTGAGAATGTAAAGTTCTTTCTGAATTAGATCAATTGTTGATATATTAAAAAGAAATGGATTTTCTAAAAAAAGCGAATTCTGTGTAGTTTTCAAACATAAGCGAGTATTCAGGCAAGAAACATGTTCACCTGTAGTTCTCTTTGGTTTCCGCTAATTTGTTCTGGATGCTACGATAGTCTCGTAAGAGAGGCTCAAGCTGGTTGTTCAGATGTTTTTCCCTGCAAATTGATATTTATTTTTTAAAGTTGGTTTTCTTCACGCTAAATAAAGTTTTTTTGGGACACTAAAAGAAAATTTTTTTTATTTTATGATCATTCATTGACAAATATCGTTCTGCTTTACAGAATTAGTTATTAAAAATAATGAAGTCACCGAGTGGAAATCCTTTCCAGTTCTTTGCTTAGTTCCGTGGAAATAAGATCAAACTGATTTCTAACTTTGCTCATAAAATTCTCAACACCGTTATGTGCAGCTTTCATTTGTTCTAGATGTGCTCTCCAATCCTAAAATGTTTTCCACTTGCTTTAATTTCAGTTCTGTTTGGTATAGGCAAAAAGTGATTTTAGCTGCTGGAGACAAAAAACCGTACTTTTGCTTCTTGTTTAACAAAAACTTTAAGCTGCGGAGCAAGTCGATCCACTTCTAACTTCCAATCCTTTGCATTCACATCACTTTCCAGCACTTCTTCCAGTGGTTTGTCCTAAAAATCAATTTCGATTTATTCTGCTCTAATCTCATGAATGTTTTTGGTTCTGCATCTTTTCAATTTTTTGGCTGATTTAACTGTACATTACTGCACTAAAAAAGCTCTGAAATTTTTGTATTGTGAAGTACAAATGATAGAAAGACGAACTGCGGGACTAACTTTTTGAAATAGGTTTGCATTTGTAATAGATGGTACCCTAAGGTCCAGAAGTGCTCCCTCGTCAAAATCTTCAGCATCCGCAACATCTTCTTCTAGATCCGACTAAAACACACTCAGAGGAATAACTGTCACAAAAAGTATTAGAAAAATAATATTTGATACATTTTTTAGCATCTGTACTTATTTTATGAAAAGATTATTGAAGCAACATGCCTGTTCTAAAGGCAATTCAGCAGAATCTACGGCGACATTATCGTCTTCATTCTCGTTAATCAATTCTGGGTTAGCTCTGAAACGCTGTCATAGTAACATCAATTTTTTTGAACTATGTTTGGTAAACTGTAGTAAAATAATGGCCAATTAACAATTCAAAAACACTACTGGCATACCTTTGCCACTGAAATCCGATGCTTAATAATGCAAGATCAGTTAGCCTATCAAGAACCAAGATACACTGGTGCCCAGATCCAGACTTTAAATGACTTGCTGTAACTTCGTCAGTAATTCCCTTACTTTTTAATTCGCTCAGGATATTTGATATTGTTGTATTCGGTTCATCTAACTGTAAAAGAGACATAAAACTCGGCTCGGTTGTTGTGCGAGAATAAAGCTGTTTAAGGCTCTTATTTTAAAAATAAAGTACAGTTTACTGGCTAAATTAGTCAGTTTTTGTGGAAATGACAAACATTAATTCCGCTTTAACATAACTGCTAAAATAGTGCTAACTTCTTGAGGAATAACGAAGCCATCGTTCAAAAACTTTTGGATAAGCCATCCACAAAGAGTTGTAAATAGAAAAAACTGTTCACCAACGTTACTGCTGTTGACAAAGTAGTGCCTGAATCAATTACAAAAATCTGATTTCACTAGTTCACTTCTTCTCTAGCTCCAGCTTATCTAAATTCACTCCGGGGTTTAAAATTAATAGGCAAAGCTTGGATTAAACCAACAAAAATCCCTCATAAGTGGTACCTCGAGATCAGCCTGTATCTGGAAGATAATTTCACATAGTCTTGCTCGTAATTTAAAAGTTTCAATTTTTCAACCACATTTTCGCACTCCATGTAAGGCTTATACAACGAACCAGGGCCGTTGACATCTGCTGTATCTTTCGAACTGTCTTGTGCGAAATCAGTCATCCCTATCGTTCTCTACGGCGAAGTATTGTAACTTTCCTGGGAAAAAATAAGCGACTTTTGCTTCTTTACTGGTCGCAAAGTACAACTCTCCTTGAAGATAATGAATTAAGTGTTTCAATATAAATACTCTGTTCCCTTCAAATGTGCACTATAAACAGCATAAATTCGTTAAAGCCTTCAAATTTTTAGCATAAATTAAGCGACTAATCCCTACATAAAGCAATAAATAAATAGATAAATTTAAAATAGTAACCTTGAAGAATATTTTTCGAACAAAGAAAACCAATTTTGAGTCGTTGTGATAAAATAATGACAGATATTTTTTGCTAACCCATAGTCTTCAAATAGACTGCTGAAAGGATTCTAACGCATAGTCGACCATGTAGTGTTTCATACAGTTTCGCCGCTTTTTCAATATAATTTTAACGAAAGTTGATATATAACCTTAGAGGTATGGTGAGGGGGGGGAGGGGGGGGAAGCACCATGACAGGCATGTGACGCGTCAAGGCTATGGCAACGGCTCAGTGGCCGACCTTAGCAACCGACATATCTGATGTCGATCTATGACTCTATCCAACCTTAGCGGCCTGCAGTCTTGAGAACAAGTATTTTATCCGTTTTGTATCTGATTGGTTCACTTAGAATCAAGTCAGGTAGTTAAAGAAGCGCAAAAGTGCAGTTACAAACATAACTAATTTGCTCTCTCTGTGTAAATGCAACCGTCAGTAAAGAAAACAGCTGCGCAGCAACTTCTCTAGCCACTTTTTTGAAACCTTCTGAATTTGAACTATTTCTAATTTGGCTTGGTTTCATGATTTTTGGAAGTTGCCAGCAATGACGTGCGAAAGGTTCCACAACAGTACAATATACTAAAGCAGTATTTCCGAAACTTTATTAGCACTGGACAGTTTCTCATGGCAGCCATATCTTAAGTGACACCCAAATTTTTGAATTTGTTGCAAGACGTCTGATCAGAAATTTACTGCCGATAGGATTTCTTGGTTTTAATTGTAGAAAAATCGTTCTTTAATCAAGTCAAAAGTTTTCTAAAAATATTCAAAAACTGAGGATACAGTCCCTTCAAAAGCAAGTCATAAATTTATTATAACCACTTAATAAACAGCATCAACTTCCTTCAACATGGGAGGAACCTGAAATGATTTGAAAACCCGACTGCTGAAAGTCAAATGATTCCAAAAACCATTTGGCGCAGAAAAATTCAACTACTCGGTTTCTCCATTTTTTGATGCAATTGAAACGAACCGGAAACGAAAAGTTTTTTAGATGAGTTGCACAGAACGCAAAACCGAAAGGCTCTCATTTTGATGTCTGGTGTTTATTTATGGGCAGTTCCAGCTACGTCCGGTCTCAATTACTTTAACTTTATATTTATCTATTTTCCTTAACCTGCAGTCACCAAAATGCTCATTAGCGAGAAGTAAGCGGTAAGTTTATTCCCGTCTCGCAACTTATTCTTCTTAGCTTCATCGTTTAATAATTATCCTCAAGCTTTTCCTCTCTGACACATTATCGTGAATTCCTTCTTAGTCTGCTAACCATCCATTTAGCTGTTGCAGTTTGCTGTAAAACTTGCCAAAACAAGCCTTTAAAATCCTGAGTTTACTTTAAGAATGTGATTTAAACTTTTTTGGCCAGCTGATTTCTTTGTCAAAATGAACAATTAAAATGTTTCAAAAAATATTTTTAGTCTTTATTGCTTTGCCACCCGTCTAGCTTCTCAGTTTTTTTTGGAAAGTACCACAATTTTAGTCCTTAATAACTGCTTGAATTAGGTGCAAACTAAAGAGGTCGTGATTCCTGCGCGCCTAGAATTGTTTCTGTCTTGTACTCGTTAAAGTTTTCATTAGGTCGACTTGTTTTCTTTTTTTTTGTGAAATTATGTGCCGCAGTTCTTCAGAAACACAGAGAGTTTCAAGAAAAATCTCATGCTAACATTAACCAGGTAAACAATAAGTTCTTAGACTTCTTTGCGACGCCGAAATGCATATCAGCTACATAGTTTTGACAAAATAAAACACGAGAAGTAGAAAACGCTGGAGTGAAGGCTACCTCTTACGACTCTGCAGAATAATAATTTGTTAATATTATTAAATTAAAATACGACTTTTGTAACAAATTTCCAACGTTTAAAAGCACACCGGAGTTCTGTAGCAGCTGTCTGCGACTTTCAGAAGCCGTTCAGGACGGTTTCGTCATGTAAAATACATCCGATTACTGTAAAATAGTGGGTTTTTAAAGTTTCACATCCCTTTCTGGCGCATAACTTTAGATATCAAAAAATTGCCATCACCAAAGTGTAATATTTTGTGGAGCAAAAAATTCTACACAAAATGTACCTTTTTTAAAAGATTTAAAGACACTTCTATGTTTGTATGAAATTTCATTTCTATTGTATTTTTGTGTATTTTTATTGGATTAAATTATTTCAACATGCATTTAAGTTCAGGATATGAAAAATATGCCAAATTAAAATTGAAAATTGTCAAATTCTGTTAAAATAATTTAATTCCGATAAAAGTACATGAAGATAGACATGTCAAGCGGCAACCTGGCAAATTTTGCAACTTTAGGAGGGGGAGAAGTGTAACATGGCTGGGAATTCACTTTTCCAAGTTTTCTTTACTTTTCTTTATACTAGCCTAGGCTTACTACCCAATAAAAAATGAAAAAAATCTGAGAGGTCTAGGTTCAAAAGTGTGCGATTTGGTATGGAATGGACCATATAGTTTTCCTCTAATTCCCTTCGTTTCCTTTATCCTTGCTTTTCCAACCCCTTGTTCAAACACGGATTGACTTTCGTAGAGGAATTCTAAGTTTTCTTCTACCGTACTTTATTTAAGAGTAGACTTCCAGTATTTGGAACTTGTTTACAGTGGTTATAAACTGAGATCTTACTAAAGGATAGCAGTCTAAGGTCTATCTATTGGACCTTATTCTCAACTAGTTGATCTAATTCCAGAAGAAAATTCTCTACTACTAATTCTACTTCTTGAGTGAGACTATCTGCACAAAATCTCTTCCTTTGGTTCTAAGAGTCTAACTGCTTTTTCTCTTCAGAATACATGTGAAAAATATTTCACTCAAGTCTCAAAAAAAGGAAAACACTTCTAGTAGAAGAACCTCAAAAGAGGAAAACTGAGTTTGAATCGAGAATCAGTAAGAGATAAGAGATTTGAGATAAAATTATGACATAAAAGAATCAAAAGAATAATTTCTGAAGAGCAATAATTCTAAGAAGGAAATAGGGAAAACTGATAAGTGATGACAGTAATAAGAAAACCAATAATAATAAATTTTTAAAGAATCAACAATATAACGAGAAACAACTCCATTAAAAAGTAAAAAGGAAAGTGAAGTAAAAAAATAAAGGAATAATCTTAAGGATAAGAGTAATGACGCAACAATAACAATAACTTTTTTCTTCTGGGCTTTTATATTCTTGATTTTGTCGGAGAAGGAAAGACCAGTACTGTTTTTAACAGAATTTTTACAAAGAGGAAGATGAAGAAAATTAGATCTATCTTTCGTTTTGGCACGTGCTTTTAAAATTTCACATTTTCACTTAATGACAGGAAATTTTAACAGAATACTGAAAGTTGATTTTGTGTAACATTTTTTAGTGTTAACTACAAGAACTCTATCAAAGACTCTCTTTCAAAATATTTC